CTCACGCACTCATCTCCTGTATAGATAAATACTGAATGTTTTATTCATCCGATACTATAATATAATGTCAATTCATTTCGATTATCCCTTTTGCCCACAAAAACGTATTGACATATGGATTGAAGTATAGTTAGAATAGTAGAGAGCCTTAACCGCAATATACATTTACAATGCCGTATACTTTATTGTATATCTAATACATGTATTATATTTACTGAAACAAACCAAAAAGAGATGAAAGTATATATAAAATCAATATATTATTTATAATGCATAGAGATGTTGAGCTTTTTATCTTCTTTATCTTTCTTAGATATATATATTTTTGTCCGCAATTTATTTCATAGCAAATAATAAATTAAAATTTCTGTATATATCTTGAGATAGAGCTATAAATCTAGAAATATTCTGTGTTTTTTGTTTTAGTTTTCTGTATAACTTTCAATCCATATATAAATAGTCTAAGACTTTGTTTCCATAGATTCTGTATTGAATTTTATTTTATATTTTCATTTTGTATAACAATAATACCGACAATAAATTATTTATAAAATAAATATATTCCGGGACTGTATTCTAGATTCTTTATATACAATTAATTATAATAAATAAATGTTTTATCAATTTTAAAATCATTAGTTTTAAAATGTTTGCAATTTATTTAATTAGATGTAAGAAGACATACATGCAATCATTTATTACCCTGATGGTAAATGACATGATTTTTAATGTTAAAATGTCAACAAAACAAACCAATTGAAGCGAATGTGAAGGGGAAATGAATTGTCAAATAGATTACCCTGGATCTAATACGGGTAGTGCTCTACATATAACACTCAATTGAGAGCTATAATAGGCTTTCAAATATTGGTTTATGTAATGAGACAGAAGTCTTGGCACAAAATGTATATTTGATTTTACACACCATTAATAATTTGAAGACATTTTATCGTACGGGTTGTTAAACACATTGTCAGAGAGAGAGAGAGAGAGAGAGAGAGAGAGAGAGAGAGNTCTTTTGGTGTAGAAATATTTTTAATTTATAACACAGACAGTGATATTAGACAGAAATGGTTAAAACATAGAGAGACTTTTCATTTTCAATTATTATAACAAAATTTTAACCCAATTTTTCTATGACAGACAATTTTGTCAATTTGTTTGAACCCGTATTTGTTTAACCATTTGCTCTGTTTTTGTTTTAAAGTTTTCAAAAAATTTAATACAAGTATTTATATTAATCCTAAAATGGGACATGTTACTTTTCTTCAGAGCATGTTATAGACACATGTATTGTATTTCTGATAGAAAATGTTTTCATAAAACAAATTTAAGTCTAAACTAATGTCTCTTTTGGTTTTCACGCAAAATTGAATTTTACACAAAACACAAACCGTTTATATGTTTTGTAATACCAATAGTACTGTAAAAATATATCTCTTTTCGCTACTCTTTAAATGTACAGAAAAAACAAAAACTAAAATAAATCAATAGATTCAGTGAACATCAGTTGATTTATATATTGATTCCCAACAAACACTGTATAGTAAAATAATACCCCCTCTCTCTCTCTCTCTCTCTCTCTCTCTCTCTCTCTCTTTCATTACTTTAGGCAATGATTTTTTAATGAGAAATACTATTACGTGCAATATCTTCAAGAATATTCATTACATCTCTCTCTCTCTCTCTTCTTTTGGTGTAGAAATATTTTTAATTTATAACACAGACAGTGATATTAGACAGAAATGGTTAAAACATAGAGAGAATGGGAGAAAAAGATAGGATGTGTTGATGAAGGGGTTGGCGATCAGAGTAAAGATATGGCAAAAGTGATTGAGATATAAATGTTCACACATACCAGTCTTGGCCGCGTCGGCCACACATGTATTGTTGCCGGTCTTATGGTAGCCGTCATCGCACTGACACACCCGTGATATACACATTAAATGCATAGATTGTGAACATTCAGCCGGTAGTAAACAATCCTCGCCCAATGTTTTATCTGTTAAACGTATCATTAAATGTGTGTTAAGCTTAAAATTATATAATTTATGCAACTTTTGTAAATGGGAAAGTATTTGTGACATTCAATTACAATAATAAATAAATTATTTCATATTTATCAATGAAAATTACATTAGTTTCATGTTAATATCATTCTCTCTCTCTCTCTCTCTCTCTCTCTCTCTCTCTCTCTCTAACTAGACTTTGATGATATTATGATGTAATGATGTATTTTTAAACAAGATTACACATAAAATTGTCATCAGAGTTAAATAAAATCGATATAACAAAGAGCTTGTGAGTAGTTTTCATTGTAAAAATATAATCAGATCTACAAAACGATTACACAGACAAGTCGACAGACAGACAAAGTTTTATAGTTATATATTATAGTTATGTTTAATACAATAGACAACTGACCCGTTTTTGGCGGTTTGAATGGTATCGACGAGTTTTTAGTCTTGTTTTGTTGTATTTCTTCATCGCTGAGAGCACTCAATATATTCAATAACAAAACACACAGAATATTCTGGTAA